GCACATTATACATTCAAGCATACTGCTTAGGTGGCGTGCCCGTGACAAGGCGATCAAAGAGACGGTGCAGGCACGCACTGCTCCTTTTTCAGGATTGCATTAGCCACGGCCAGCTAGCCATAGCAAACTCTAGCAATGGGTTTGATGTTGACGGTGTTCATTTCTAAGTTTGTATAGCCTGAAGTTGCTCAAGGCAGAAGAGGCTCTGCGATGAAGCAGTTTGAAAAGGTTCGTGCTTGATTCTTAATCTATGCTGCCATTCCCACGGTGCCCCTTTGCTTTTCCACTTTCGTGATGCAAAGTTTAAGAGCAGGCCTCAAACCTTCTATCCGCTTGGTACTGTATCAAATCTCATGATTACGAAGTAGGAGGCTCAGATTAGTTTCAGATTTGCCTGACGCTATCCCACTTGGCAGTTCCTCGTTGGCATCGGCTTGGACGCAAGCCTCGAGGTATGCGGACCTGCCCAAGACCAAAACAGTCTTAGGGGTCCTGGGATGTGAGAAGCCTGCGGACAGGTTGTCAAGGGTTGGCGTTGAGGAGTCTGTGGTGAAGGGTCTCAGTATCTTCTGCCTTCCGGCTTGAGTCTCATGGTGCTGAACGCCAGTTTTTGAGTTTGACTCTGTGACGTTCGGCATCTGATGCATGAGTCGAGGGTTAGAAGTTCAAGTGCTAATGCGTGCAATAGCACTACAAGTGCTAATGTGTGCAATAGCACTACAGCCTCTGATCCTCATTGCACCACGTGCCATTGCTCCACAGCTCCAAACCTTCAGCAAGTCGTTAGAACTGATGTAGCACAAGCTCCAAGCAGGCAGCACTCCCCACCGCATTGAAGACGAAGCCAGCGGAGCGGAAGCGGTGCAGCTTTGCCGGTTTGTAACAGAAAGTGTGATCAGAAGGACGATTGTCAGCAGCCCGTTCTCATCATTGAGCTGCTTGCAGTATTATGGCTCCCAAGCCTTCGACGCACGTATGGAGCGTTTCGCAAAGTCTCACGATGTGTACTTCAAAGTCTGAAATCCACAAATTCGCAGCTTGCACAGCTTTCTTGGAAGTGCCAGGTTCAGCTCCAGTGCTGTGCAGTTTGCCGAGGCTCTGCAGACAAGTTGCCTTTGGCAATGCGGTGTAGAATTCCTGAAAATGTCAAGCGAGCTTTGAGATGCCTTTTGCGATGTGCAGGTTCCTGTGCAAGCTCTAAGTTGTGCAAGGTGGCCATCACCACCCGCCTGAAAACGCTCCAAGACAAGATCGACAACTTTGAGCAAGAGGTGAGCTACGGTAGAGCTGTAGTGGTGCAGAGGCTTCACGAGGTGAGCATGCCTGTTTGTCTGGCAATTCCCTCTAGGTTTCCATCTGTTGTGTGCTCTTACGAATCGCAAGCTTTGACCAACGGCTGAGGCCACAACACGGACGCAGGCTGTGGCCACAGCGAAGGAGGCACTTCAGCTCAGGACGTGTCTCTTTCTCAAGCAGGGTTCCTTTATCCCTTTTCATATATCCCGCTTGCATAGCCTTTATTGCGAAAGCTAGCTCTCCTGGAGCTTTCGGTAGCTGTCTTTCACAGATTCTCCAGGTGGGTCACTATGTGGCTCCAAATCTATTCTTAAGGGGTTTAATCAATTGTTACCACAAAGGCCTTGAAGAGTTTATTCAAAGGAAGCGAGGGGCCCTCCCCCTTTTTGACACCCCCCCCAGAGTTCTGTTTTGCACGGAGACACATGACGTTATTAGTTTGTCTTCCTGTTGTTCGGCTGTTAGTTCGCTGCCTGCCTGCTGTCCTCTAGCTTACGTGGCCTTATTCTCAAGTATAACACCCCACAGGCCTTACAAGTAGGTAGTCCCACATTCCCCCCCCCAAAAGCTAGGAGAGCCCCAGGTTTGATCATTTCAGGCTTCAAGAAAGCACTGCTCGTTTGTTGGCAGGCTCTTGCATCTGCCGAAGAGAAGTTCCAGGTGGCCAAGGTCCTGCTCATGCTTTGCATGCTCTGTCGAAAGGGTTGCACAGCCAAAGCGAGTGTTGGTGACAATGTCGGCTCGAGCTAAGGCTGAGGCAGCGGCTGCAGAGGACCAGAGTGCTCAGAGTGCTGACTGTTAAGTTTGAGACGCTGGCTTGCCGGGCCGCATCGAGCCGCATGGTACGGACAGGAGGCTCTTCAGGCCGCCCTGAACACGAAGGTCGAGATTGAGAAGGAGATCAAGGCGTGCAACGAAGCCACAAGTTTCTCGTCCTTTGGCAGTGCAAATTGGCTCTTTGATCTTAGACCCAGGTCGTAGGTTCTGATTACAAGTGGATTCGACATTCACAGACTCGGGCCAACAGATTTTGGGATGCGTGTAAGATTGGTGGAAGATCACGAGCTGCTAAAGCATGTTATGACATATGGCTCACTCTGAGAATCACAGACAAGCAGGGACAGTGAGCCACCTGTATGCAGGCAGCCGAGTTTTTTTGGTGATTGCAGAGGCTGTTTGCTGCAGTTCAAGTTCATGGCATACCAAACTAGAATTTTCTGTACTGCAATTTTACAGCAACTGAAACGGGGTCAACCGCCGCTCCGTCGCGCCGGCATGGCCTGGATCGATGCGGCTCGTTTTTTGGCTTCCTGCTCTTGTGGCTTCTGGCAGCGGCCAAGATGCCTCATGGGCGCATGAGCTCTATGATGTGGAGTTCATTGACTTGAATCCTTCGACAGCCACCCCTTTGCTTGAGCAATGTTTCCTTAGTTGCGACGTTGAGGTACTCGCTTGCAAACCTACACATACCCATGCTTAAGCCATTCGAAGCCCTGTGTCTCGGCCCCCGATTAAGAGCCCGTGGAGAATTGATGCGTGTCGTGTCACTCCCAGGCTCCAAATGCTCCAAGTTCGCAGTCTGAGAGACTGTTCAAGAAGCTTGGCGGTTGACAGAATTCAGGGGTGCAAGGAGTTAGTTTTGCGGTTGCAGATGAGCTAAGTGCGTAAGTGCTCGTAACTTGCCCTTTACTGAGACTGGAGCACGGCTGGTTACAGCACAGCTAAACTGTGTCACGGTTTTGGAATATCACTGCTTTTGAAGGATTCCTGCATGCGTCTCACATATGCGAGAGGAAGCCTCTGAGCACTTGAGGATCCTGCATGTTCCCGACACTCACTTCTCGCACGAGTCGGATGCAAGCCCGTGGTCAGATCGAATGCACAGGAGCCTACGTGCGCAAATAGCCTCAGATTTTTGTGGATTTATGGCTGTTGGATGGTGGGATTCAGCGCGTTCTGTTTGACGGCGGATGACGGCGGGATTGTGGCAGGATAGAACTGTTGGCTCTTCTCAATAAACAGTCTGATGGTTCCATCACACACTGGGGCATGGCAAGTTCTTGACGAATATCACCAGAGAGAGACTAAGATACCACCCAATTGTAGCTGCCCCGTTGGGGCCGAGAAAATCTGACTCAGTTGTATGCAGGAGCCTTATCTTTGGTTGGACCCTCGCGTTCAGACGCCTTATGGCTGGGCCCAAAATAGTCAAACCATTCATAAGCTCTGGGAGTGGTTGATGTTGATGAAATCATGAACCCTAGGCCCCATATCCTGCCAGCCAGCACTCCTTTAAAGCTCTTTCACACTATTGTCCACGCAAGAGTTTGATTACTTAAAAGTGCTTGCATTCCCGCATGGTTCACCTTGCCTGCAGCAGGGCGTTCGCTGCTCCTGAGCGTTTTGATACGAAGCGGCCAACCAACACAGGCCTGCAGCTGTCAGCACTAGGTCAAGACGTGTGAAAGGCCAGCTTTATCTGCTATGTTTCAAGCATAGCTGGGCCTAGGCCCCTAGGCCAAGGCGTTGCTCCCCAAGATCTAGGAACCTTTGAGCTCAGATTTCTGCTAGTTCACACTGCACAGTTCCGACCTCACTACTACTGTGGAGAAGGCATGCCTCAAGCTGCCATCCTTCTAAGCTTGCTGGTTGGTAGCTGAACCAGGTTTAGAGCTGAAGCAGGCGCTGGTGTTTGCTGAATCGCCACTCTGCAAAAGCTGTTGGGATGAGGCAGGTTCAAGATTCAGAGTTCCGGGATAAGCTTTGAAAGCATTCGCTGAAGGAACCGAACAAAAGAATGCTTCACAACAGCATGCGGCTTGTCTTTTTCAGAAGTTGGCAGAGAGTCGTGCTCGAATTTATAAGGATCTCGGTGGATCTCCTGGCGTTAGGAGGGGACCTGGTCAACTTCCCCTCAGAGCCCCGCGGCCAATTTTCGTTGTCTTTTTGAGCTTTTAGGTCTTGGTCTCTAGTTGGGGCTTCAGGTCTCTGGTGGGACAACATGTCCTGTGGTTTTACACCATTGGGGTGTGCACCCAAGATGAGGAAATGATGTATTCGCTAGCTCTGCTGCAAGACTGTCAACCAGAACGAAGTAGCACTGATGTTTTTTGGTGGGCTGAATGTTTTTGGTAGAAGCCTCAACATGTGCATCTGCAACCTTAGCGTGTGAAATTCCACGTGACAACGCCAAGTCCTCCCAACATGACTTGGAGGCTTATTTGCCAAAGTGCTACGGTCGCCCAAGACACACAGAAGCTAGGTCCTCTGTGGATCACCTGTACGAAGAGTTGCAGAAGCCACCCGGCAAGAAAGAGGTAACAGCGAGCATTCTTGAGTATGAGATGAAGGCACTTAGCTTTGGGGAATTGTGGACAGTCAATGAAGATCGATTGTAGTGCAGTGTTTCAAGGGTAGCATGAACATGAGCGCCAAGCAGAAACAAGTAGCCGGTTTCTTTCAAGGTGGCAACTATAAGGTTGAAGGTGCCCTTTGTCTACACTGCTGGCAATCATGACTGGCACCTGGAGAAGCTCAATGTCTCCAGGATGTGTTGGCATATCCACCTCGATCTGTACATCTGCAAAATTGCCTCGAGCCATAGTGCTGCTGAGAGTGCACCGAAAATCTGATAACAGACTTAGTCTGGTTCAAATGCTGAGGACTGGGAGCAGACCTTTGATGCACAAGAGCGGCCCAATGAAATGGGGCCTTTGCTGAAGCTATATCGAGCAAGCGGACAAGGACTGCTTGGATTCCCCAACACGATTGTTCAGGGCTTTCAAGGCTGATTGGATATAGATTCAGCCAATCGATCGGGGTGTGTCGGATTAAGCCCAGATCTTGCCTCCCGCTTCATGGTTCTTCAGAACATGATGATCCTGATGTTTGTTCGCCCGAGTTTGTTTTGATGTTGCCCAACCGGGCCATGCGCACAGAGTAGCTAAAGATGGATTTGCCTGCAGCGGATTTGCAGGATGATTGCTTTTTCGGATCGGATGATTTCAGCTCAATTTCATGGTCAATCTTCCTTGATGAAAGGTCTGCATGCGCGCAATTTTTCGGACCCGCGCTTCGGCTCTGCACTCCTGTCGGATCTGTCGGGCGACTTGCGAATCGTTTGCACCTTGGCGGCCGAGCCAAAGGTGTGTCTGCAGAGTGGGTCCAAGTCCAGGCCCTAGCTCACAGCACTCAGCAAAGCGATATATGCGAGGCTCCTTTAAGGGGTCAAGGAGTCTTCGGCCCCTTCTCAAGGCTTTTTACCGCTGGCTTTTTTTGTTTCATATGTGGGGGAGACTTGGGTCCAGGCATTGACAACTCCAACTTCCAGATCGATGACGACCAGTTGCGCTACTTTAAGGACCCAACTGAAAAGTCACCGAGCGCTTGGTTGATGCTTGGCTTGGCAAGCACTGCCCGCCCCAGGACATGGTGAGATCAGGGCAGCCCTTTGTCCTGTTGATGCACATCCCGATCTTTTTCCCCGGCCTGGCATGGGGGCCAGAGGATGTCATGGGTCACCCAAACTGGGGCACCGCCTCTGACCGCAACGCTGAAGTCGAACGCCGCCGAAAGTGGCCTACGCAAGCAAGCCCAAGCACTGCAACTTTCATTGAGGCTGTAAAATCCGCTGCGGAGACAAAGCAGCTCCTCGCGGTCCTGACGGGCCACACACACCGCAATGCTGTCGTGCCGGTGCCCTGCAAGAGCCAGACCGGTCCGAGCATCCAGAGAACCTGCACAACACAAGTGAGGCAGTTCACCACAAGGCCCAACTTTGCTGGCGGTGCGCGGCTCTTCCTCATACGCTCGGGCTCCTCTCATCACCCTTCCGCTGCACTTGCACCTGCTGGACGTCTTCGACTACCAGACCGGACGTACTCTAGCCTTGCCTGCGCACTTCTGTCTCTGGTGCTGCTTGGAGCATACGTGGCGTGCGCCCGGCCACAAGCACCTGCAGAGGTGAGGGAGGTCCTGATGTCTGAGCAGGGTATGCCAGTGAGGCAGTGAAGCCAAATCTGCCTGTTTTCACAATGCGGAGACAAAAAGGCTCAGGGTCGAAGTGGGAATCTAGACCCCCGCTTTGATGTGACTCCTAGAGGGCCAGGGCAATGAGGCCCAATTGACAGCGTAGAATTTTGGGGTGCATTTCAGACCTGAATCGCGACCTGCAAGAGCCCTTTCCTAGACAATATTTGTATCCAAAATCCATTCCTGAGCATAGGACTCCCCGCCTCACACAATTCAAAAGCAGCTGTACGAACCCGTAAGCATATGTCTTATTGCTGACGAAGGCTTCATCAGTGGATCATGGGGTATGTGTGTGTGAGCATATATATGTATATATATATACATATATATATATATATCTGTGTGTGAGTTGTGTGTGTATACACGGACCCCTTTGTACATATATGTATATATGTGTATATATGCATATGTATATAAAAGCTCCATTTACAATATTTGTAGAAACGGAAGTACCATCTAGAAGGCTTCCAAGACTGTCAGAACCCTGCATTAAACATGATAGGCTGCTCCGACCACGCTGGCGAAACTCCGTGCAGCGGTCGAGAGGGCCCAGGATGATTGATGTGCTCATCAAGGGCTTTTCGTCTTATCTCCTGAAGTTTTTTGCCAGCACCTCAAAAGGACGAGCTCAGCCAGTCGCAGACTACCCTTGGCCACTTTGAAGGTTTGAAAGACAGGCCAGAGCTGCGTAGGGTTGGTAACTTTATAGCTCTCGTAAGGAGTTGCAGTTGAATAGCTAATGTGGCCTTTCTGGGAGTGTTGATGCCAAGAGCTAGAATTTGCCTTTCAAGCAGAAAGCTTTTGACCTGCGTGACTTCTTGCAGCTTGACGGTTCGCTGGCAGCTCAATTGAACGTCTTTTGCGCTGGGCCCACGCAGAAATCCAGCCCGCAACAACCAATTGGAAGGTCTGCAGCAGATTTTTTGTCATTTTGTTGCCTGTTGTAGTAGCATCCCATGGTGATCGTGCAAGAAATTGCAAGAAGGACCAACAGAAATTTGAAGTTCCGACTAGCTAGTTTGTGAAAGCTGTGCATCCTGGAGCAGGTCATCCCAGGCTGCGGAGCCGGCTGAGGAGGCTCGCCTGCAGTCTTTGGATGTTCGATGAACGGGGCTGGCAGATGGCTGCCTTGTCTTTTGCTTAGAGCAAATGAAAAATATCCATCCTCATGAAGTGCATATGTTGTGAGGCCAATGGGTAAGGCTCCCGATGCATGCTCAATTCTCCAGCTCCGTTTGCAACTCTCCAGGTCCCCGCCCAGGAGGCTAGCAGCTAAAACACGGCCTAGTCTGAGTCGCCCTCTCAGTGAGGAAGAATCTGGGACTGGAGAGCTGAGTTTGGCTGTGCGCTCTTCTGGCATCGCTAGCGCATTTGTTCGCCATTCAAATGTCTCCATGCGTTCTTGCCTCTAACTCTGCTTCACTTCATACCTCCGCTTGATTTGTTCCTGTTTGCAGTAGCTAGATACTGAGGCGAGCCGAATCACGAACAATAGACTGACAAGTTTTTTATAATATAGTTGTACAGTCAGACCAGGGTTCAAAAGTCGCGAAGTATTCATCCTCTCATCACATGTCGGGGAGCATTGGGGAGGCGGGGGCTGAGCTGGATTGGCAGGAACCCTTTTTTTGGTAAGAGGAAATTGGACGGTGTCTTCATTGATGTATCAAAACACCGTTATCCTCTTCATTTTCTATCAAGTTTGTTCATACATCCAGATCTTGCGTTCAGTTTTCATGCGCGTTCTTGGCTGCCAATCATGACTCATTTCAGCATGGCGCATCTGCTAGATTTCATTGGCCTTGGCTCGCCCCGCAAGTGTTGCTAGTCATGCAAGACCACTATGGAGCCATGCTCAAGCCCTGAAGCACCGAGCATCCGCTGAGGTTGAATTCGAGCTGTGCTCGGCCAAGCCTCAATGTGCAGTCCCCGGTGCCTACTTTCGTGATGATTTTTGTGAAGGTTTGAGTAGCTACGAGAAGTAGCCAGCATAAGTAAGCATCAGACTCGTCACGGACACCCTCAACAGCCGCTGTTGCTTGTGCCATTCTGTGTACATCGTCACCTTGCCAACACATCAGCTTGGGTGCATGTATGCCAGTAGCTCTGCAGCAAAGCTTCAGCATGCCACGTACCTTTGATTCAGGTGGTCAGATGAAGTGCCAAGATTCCAAGTGAGGCATCATCTTGATATTCTTGTACTTTACGCATCAAATTATCCTGCACAGTGCAAAGGCTGTGGTGGCATGAAAGCATGCTGCCAATTCAAGTCGCGAGCAACTTGGGGAAAGATGCTCGTCGACTCCGGAAGTCAGAGTCAGGTGTGCGTGAGCATGCAATGCAAAATGGTGATGTCTGATGCATACACTCCTTTGTGCCGGTTGTGTGCAGTTTCATGTTCAGTCCTGGTCATGCGGCAATCAGGCCAGTCAATCTGCACTGAACGCTTCATGGCACCATCCTGAAAGCGCGTGCAGCTGACAGCAAATGCATGCCAAGTTAGCAGCACCCTTGGTGGTATGCGCCGTCAAAAGAGACTCCGGAAGAGCTCGTGGCACCAGGTCTGGGGGTCCGCATTGCTGCTGGAGGAGGGAGCGCCCGTTGCCTCGTTCTTGCATTCAGCCTTCACCTACGAAGCCGGCACGCCGAGCCCGATTCCTGCCTTTGCACTGGTAGTGGCTTGCGGCGCTGCGTAGTGTCGGCGATTGCGACTATGAGCTGATCCCACCACCGCTTTGCTCAAGCTAGCGTAGCAAGTGCGTAGCACAGGCGAGGAGACACGCATGAGATTGCACGGACCGTGCAACTTCATAGTTGTGGCACCATGCTCCTTGCCCTCTGCAGTGCCACTGATGCAGCTGCTATCCGGCTTGTGGTGAGGCCTTTCTACAGCCAGCTTTCCACGTTCCTGTAGGTTCTGTCCATTGTCTAGGCTGAAAGCACCGAGCAAGGTGATCCAAAGATGCCAGCCTTGTTTGCCTTAGGTATAACTCCGGGCCTGCAGGTTGAAATGCAATTTGGCGAGCACGTGCTAGATGCTGCGTACGCCCACCATATGTCGCGCATCTTCAGCAGGCTCCCGTGCACTTTCCTTTCGTTCGGCCACCCATTTCAAAGAATCGAAACCTGTGTCTGGAATGCAGCAAGTAGCTCCATCCACGTGTCCATTTTTTCTCCTTTTTCGGCGTGCACCACCATCGCTTCGACGCGCGGCGAGCTTCTTCTACGCTAATTTGGATGTTTGGTGAGGTTCAGCCCCCAGATGTGCTCGCCTGAGACTCAGCAAGTGCCTGGGTTGGTGACACCAGCTCCACCTGATGAATGTGGCGTGCAGGTCCTTGGAATGCCCCTTTGGTACGGACGAATCTGTTGTTGCGCATCTCCAAATTTTCTCTGCGCATGATGGTGCTCTCCTCGAGGTCCTTTCTGCGATCCCAGATCTCCAAGTCGCGTGGCTCCTTCTGTTCCACTGCACCAACCCAACGTGCCAGTATGCTTTCAGGGAATTGCCCCCAGCCTCACTGCAGTCTGCGTACTTGAGCATGACTGCATCATCATCCATTGCTGCGTCCTCAATGCCCAGCCCATGCTCCGGCAACCAATTTCGTCTGCCGGGCTGACGGTCTGCCTGCAGTCATTTCCTGCGACCGTGCGTGCGTGTGCCCACCTCCCAAACCACTCTTTTCGCCCCCGCCGCCGTGGCTTGCTATGTCTCACGGATGGTGCTTCTATGATGTGCTTATGTGCTTCTTCGGCAGCCATTTCCTGCTCATGCCTGCATTTTGCTTTCGCTTCTACGACGCCTGCGGTTATGGCTGACTCCCGCCTAGCCTGCTCTCCGTCCAGCTCTGACGCCAACAATATTTGAACCTCCGCCTGTGGATGTGAGTGCTGCCCCGCCTGTTCCTGTCCATGACATGGTCAAGTGTCGGGTGCGGACAGTTCTCATATTTACATTCTGGTGAGCTTCACGAGTTGCTGTGCATTCTGTTTGTACTGAAAGACATGGGATTTCCGAACCATTAGCGGCATCAGCTTTTCGTGTTATCAGCCAGTCCGTCAAGGCCTCGTGTACTGTGACGCATGGGCAGGGAAACAACAATTCGTTCGGTTCGCATGCGCTGGTGCAGACCAAGCACTGCCGACGCTGTGCAGTTCGAACCGCCAGCACCTAGCCCAGGCTGATGCACCGGCGCTGCGGAGGGCCAGAGGAACCCGCTGGGATCCGCTGGGCACGGACGCGAACTAGATCGAGTACAAGGCGCGCGGCACCTTCGTTCCAGCGTCCGCCAACCTCCGAGCCAAGGACCATGCTGTCGCAAACCTCCGGCAAAGAGTTTGGGGTAAGCATCGCGTTTGCGCCGCTCCAACACGCAGGAACGTGTCGCCTGTGGCAAAGCCACATACCCTTCCTCCGGGCTTTTGAGTCAGGCGCGCCCTAGTGAGGTCTGGGGCAAAGTCGGCGCGCGTGCGCTTACGCATTGGCCCGCCGAGCACTGCAACATCCTGAAGCAATAGCTTCAAGTTTTCCGACCGCATGCCCGAGAGGCCGCAGCGGCCGGCCATGGTTGGCCCGGGCTGCAGGCCTGAGCCCGGCCGCTGCTCCAACATTTCGGCTGGGGGTTGTCCGGGGCGACGTTGGGCGCTCACTGGGGTCCGTGAGTGCACCGCGTGTGGTGTCATCGCCCGCGCATTTTGTCTTGGAGGTCAACCGCGCTGAGTTAGCGCGAAGAATCCCCACTCTGCTTCCGAAAAGCGGGCGGGGGAGTGCTTTGAAAACTGCGTCCATCAGGCTCTTTGCCCGACGACAAACTGGCAATACTCATCGCGCGACTGATTTCAAAATCTGTTGTCTAAAGCTGTTGTTTCCCAACCGTCCCATCGTTTCCAGCGAGCAAATGTCTCGAGGCAAGATGCCGACGCATACCCAAAACAGGTCTCCCGATTGGTTGCCATGCAAGCACTCGCTTGATCCACCT